GCCGAGTTCTTATCCTGCAACCCGAATAACAACTATGTACCCGTAATTTTCGACGGCACGCTTCTTATCTGTAACAAGAAATACAACTATGTACAGCCTGTGAGATTTCTTCCTGCCAACTGTCTTATCTGCAACACAAATAACACTATCGCTACTGGTAGATTTTTCATCTGTAATTCACGAAGTAACAACTATGCTACTCCTAGTAGATTTTCGCTATGTAAGCACGAACTAGACAACTAGTACTCCTGTACGATTTTCGGTATCTGCAACCGTTCTATTCTGTAAACACGAATAACAAGCGCATCTATTCTGTAGATTTTCGTCTGTCCGCGTTCTTATCTGTAACGTCGAAATAAGGCGAACTATGTACTCCTGCTAGATTTTCAGTCATGCCCTGTTCTTATTGCTAACACGAATAACAACTAGAGTGTAATACGGTATTCCGTGACAGTTTTCGTCATGTCGGGCGGTTCTTATTCTGTAACACGACATGAACAACGACCTGTATTCCTATACCGCGATTTTCGTCTGCCCACGTCTTATCTGCAGACAGGGCAATAAGCAGATCTATGTATTGTCAGCTAGGTAGATTTTCGTCTGCCACTCATTATCATGCAACACGAATGGAACAACACTGTATCCTGAGCCACATTTTCGTCTGTCGCGTTCTATTCTGGCAACAGGCGAGGATAACAACTATGTATTCTTGTAATTTGCTGTCTGCGCCACATTCTTATCTGCAACCTACGAATAACAACTACTGTACTCCTGTAGATTTCGTCTGCGCGCAGCGTTCTATATCTGCTAACACGAATAACAAACTATGTTATACTATTTTTTGGAATATTTTCCGTCTCTCTGTGTGTTATACAGCTAAATTGTCGCATATATTGTCTTTTTGTTCTTGTACTTGTCCTCCTCGTTCTCGTCTGTCTCTCCTACTCTATCTCTGCTTCTCGCTCTCGTCCTCTCTCTCTCCGCCTGTCTCTCTCTTAATTGTAATTGTATTAATTAAGCTTAATTAGTTCGGCGGCTGGGTGCCTTCATGATTCAAGTGATGACTAGGGAATGTGTTAACATTTGCCTGCAACATGCACGAGCGGTTTAAACATTAGTGTATGTCTACCATAAGTAATGGGAATAAGCAAGCAAAAACTAAAACAAACAGTCTAATAATAAACTTAACACAGTAACAGTTATGTTGTCTTCTTTTCTGCCATTTGGGCCCTCTCTCTCTCTCTGTTCTCTCTCTCGTCTCTCTCCTCTCTCTCTCTCTCTACTCTCTTCTCTCCTCTCTTTCTCTGTCTTCCTACTCTTCTCCCTTTGCTCTCTCTCTCTCTCTCCTCTTTCATCTTCTCTCTCTCTCTCTCTCCTCTCTCTTCTTGCTCTCTGGTAAACACTCTCCTTTCTCTCTCTCCTCACTCTCTCTCCTCCCTCGTCTCTCTTTCTCCCTCTCCGCCTCTTCCTTTCTCTCTTCGCCTCTCTCTCTCTTCCCCCTCCCTCTCTCTCTCTTCCCATCTCTCTCCCCTCCCTCTCCCCTCTCTCTTCTCTCTCTCTCTTATGCCTCTTCTCCCCCTCGTCTCTCTCCTCCCCTCTCTTCTGCTTCTCCTCCTCTCCCTCCGCTCTCTCTCGCATCATCCCGCTGCTGCCTCTCATATTCCCGTGTGCATGCTTTTGGCTAAGTTTGCTTCCGGTGTATGGATGCGCCGATTCATGACCGGCTCGGTGAATCATCACTCAGGAATGCTGGCGACACACTGTTTTCATCAGCGAGCACCGGCGTGCTCGGACCCCCATACTGCGGCTCCGCTCACGCCCCCCCCGATCCCATCGTCGCGAGTATCGCCGTCATTAATCCCGCACGTCGCTCGTAGAAAAAAATTTTGTTTAGCTCTAATGAGCGCGATTATGATAAACGCTTGGCAGACGATCGAGTAAACGACTGGCTAGGGCATTGCTTCGTCACCGCTAGCATGCTGACATTGCTGCTGTCTCCCTGCTGTACTTATATATACTTAATCAAAGAGCGTATAAAGAAGGAGAAGCAGTACAAGGTAAATGGGTGAAAAACCAGTCTGCAGTATTAGTCAATTAATAAACTTTTCCCCTTGGTTATTCTGTACGATGCCTTTGCAGTTTTAATTGAATTAGGCTGTCTTACTTGTGTCATATATAAACAAACCGCATGTCCCTACGATGCCGCCTAGCTGAGATAATGCAGCGGTGAAATCTGTATTTTTCACCGAAACCCGACTCGAGATCAGTGTTTACTGCGTCCCTCACTCGAAGTGTTATAACTTCAGGAAACCTCGCGTGTCCCGAATGACGTCTGTTATTGATTGCTCATAGTGATGACCCCAGCCTGTGCCCACCTCACGCCCACCTCACACTGATGTATAGTAACTTCTGGTAGTATTACGTGAGTCAGCGCCACTATGGCGCTACACACGCGGACCGAAGCAACACACTGGAAACACTTCGAGTGAGGACGCAGTAAACACTGATCGCGAGTCGGGTTTCGGTGAAAATACCAGATTTTCACCGCTCATTATCTTAGCGTAGGGGCATCGTAGGGACATGCGGTTTGTTTTATATGAACAAGGAAGACAGCTAATCAATAATACTGCAAGGATCGTCAAAATAAACGGGAAAAGTTTATTAATTCGACTAATACTGCAGCATGGTTTCAGCATTTTACCCTTGTACGCTCTCCTTCTTATATCTGCTCTTACTTATAATATATAGGCGCTCATGTGAGAGAGGAACCAAGTAAAATGACGCCCATCTTCCTGAAGGAGATCGAATTTCACTTTAGTTCTTGTGCTTCAGTACGAGATCCGGAAAATGTAATCTCATCAAGCAGAAGATTCGTAGAAATCTTATAAGATTACGCAGACTGAAAGTTCACTCGTTGGGTATAGTCACTATAAATAATATATCGTGTGAGCGCGCTGTGTATAACGAATGTATGCAGAGATGTAACAAAACATCTAGTAAACATCTCCAGGAGGCTGAAGGGGTCGTTGTCGTATCAGGTATACCCGAGTACATATATGTATACACAAAGTGTACCAGACTTGTACTACAGAATTGTACCCTAACCAACCCTAACCCTAACCCTAAACATACCTCATATCAAAATATAAACATAATACTAAACAACCTAAAACTACCTCAACCTAGGTACATAAATGTAGTACCCTATACGACAACGACCCTTCGTGCTCCAGTGAGTATCCTAACTATAATGTCTATGTGTCTGTAGTTAGTATGTGCCCTAAGAACAACAGGGGGGCCGAGAGAGAAGAGAGAAGGGAGGGAAGGAGAGAGAAGACAAGGAGAGAGAAGAATGAGAAAAGAAAGAGAGGAAGGAAGAAAAAAGGGGAGGAAAGAAAGAAAGGGAGAAGAAGACGGAGGGAAAGGAGGAGAAGAGAGAAAAGAAGGAGGAGAAGAGAGGAGAAAAAGGAAGGAGAGGAGAGGAGGAGAAGGGAGAAAAGGAGAAGGAGAGAGCAAGGAAAGGAGAGAAGGAGAGGAAAAGGAGAACGGACGGACGATCATGCGATTCTACAAGCTGCATCTGACTATGTCAGATGAGCTAAAAAGTTAACATTAAGACTGATGTTAAGACTAATTTTGATTCCGAAGGCGGGCCTCCGGTGACCGCTGGTGGGTTGACCGCTGGTGCGGTGACCGCTGGTGTGTTGACCGGTGGTGAGTTGACCGCTGGTGGGTTGACCGGTGCTTACCAGGAAGGTTCTGCATGTGCTGGTGGAAGAGGTCGTCCTCGCTGCCGTATCCACTCATGCCTGAGCTCGACTCCCCATCCGTGTCGTCGTGAGGGATCGAGAAATCTGCAAGCCATCGTCAACGCAGCCGTTACAGACGTTATGCGCGACCAGTGTATAGTAGCCCTGAGCAAGTTCACGACTTACTTTTCGAATATACTTGAAGCTTTTGTGAATGACATTTCATATGGATTAATAAACTACGAACTGGTAATTTTTGTTGCCTTGACTTGGAACAAATTTCATCGTTACATCTTTCATCTACTTAATTTTCATAGAAATTGGACCGTTTTCGACTCGTAAAAAGATCATGTTTACATTTTTGATATCCAATACATACTTGCTAATTAATTTCATCTAATTGCTAATCAATTTCACCTTTTGATTAGTAAATTGCTAATCAAGTTAAAAAAATCCATGGCATGCACTGCATGTGACACATACAGTAATTGGGAGGCAATATCAGCAGTTATGTTCAACAAGTCTCTAACCAAGTTTTTTTCTTGTGATTTATATTACCAGCAGTGAATAATGACATACATCATTTGACACAATTAGATAGTTGTCATTACTCACCCCTCATATTACCAACACACTCCTATCTTTTTAGAATTTAAGAATCATATCGTATTCACGTATTACGTAATCATTACCAAGTATTCGTTGCATTGACTCGGTGAAGGCGTCTGCATCAAAGTTGACCTTTCCGGATGCCTTCTTGTTTCCTTTCGCCGGCACCTCGACTCCCTCATATCCGGACACCTTGCTCACAAACTCATTCATCGTCTCTGACACCTGCAACAGGTACGTCTAGTTTATAAACTTCATTACGGATTTGTTAAAGGAACAATAGCCTCTAGGATTTTACTGCATACAACTGTACTTACTGTATAACAAATCGTCTATACCCACACGTATTTGGTACCAGATACCTAATTTAATCGTTATAATTAATTACACATCAACGCTACGAAATTTGAACGGCGCCATGACACCCGCGACCGTGCTGCCACCCCGAAAAAGTTGCGTATTTGACAATTTATTTTGCACGTTACAGACCGAGGGCTAATCACAAAAGTGCAATTATATTTATACTTAAATGCTATTTAACCGAACGATATTCATTTTAGGGCAAATTTATCCATAATATATTATAACTGAAACTATATGTCGTTTATAAGATATTACAATCCTTTTGATTTTAAATGAATAAATAAGAAACACCCTCAGTCTGTAGCCCTTGGCTGGAAAGTCGTTTTGCGCAACTTATCAGATCGTGCACTTTGAGTGGCGCCACAGTCGTTGTAATCAAACTGTAGTCGTTAGTTTTAAAACATTTGAAAAAAATATTTCTAATGGTGATTGAACCATGAAACTTTTTATGTAGCGTAATTATAACCTAAATTAGCTGAAAATAACCCTAGAACCTAAAGTAAACTCTCCCTTTAACGATTATTTTAATTTATCTATCACATACTGCTTATTTTTTTCAATACGTGGACACGGTATGTACGTGTTGCTTTTCGACTTCAGCGTAATACACCCCAAGTTACCTGCTAAACGCACGGGAAAATACCATTCGGATCTTGATTGCTTGCCAGATCAAGAATTACCGTAAATCACACATACAGCAAAGAACAACGATGAACGAACGAACGAACGTCGGTTCTTCGTTGAAGTGTAACGATGGGAAAACTAGGCGTATCGTTAAAGGCGTAGACGTGGTTTTCTCGATAAATGATTCCAACAGCCATCCAAATCTGATTACACCGTATGTCTTCTACCAGTTGGCCTCTAGTATCAATTATTAGTGCATTAGGACGATGTTATGCTCCCCCAATTAAGTTCTCGACCGCACATGTGCTACTGTCCCTCGTAATATACATTTCCACATTTCCGTTCGCTCGCGTCCTTTTTGCATCGCTACAGAAGCGCCCCCATATGGAGCAGCAAGAAGCCAGCGTAAGCTGCGTCGGCAACAACCTTGTTCAGGTCGAGGTTGGGGTTGGTCGGCGCATTGCTGGCGGCCATGTTGCCATATTCGTTCAGCATCTGCTCAAGGTCCTGTGCACTGATGTCTAGCCAACTGTCGCCTGTAATAACACATCCCGATATATGTAACATATATGTCTGTGTCCGGATATGTAGATGCATACACATGGTCTGGTTGGAACCAGTGAGAGACGAGAACAGACTAATACCGGACTAAGACCGAACAACGACAAATTAACAGTTTATGAGCCGTACGTTGTTTCATATACAGAAACCTGTTTTCAGAAACAAAATTGGTATTAACATTATTCTTAACGTGACCTTTTTCTCTTAGACTGTTGACAGAAACAAGTCTACATACTACTTACAAGAATAAAAATCTTAATATTTCTTCATGAAAGAAAAATTTCCAGGTTATGACTAATGTTAAGACTAATTTTGTGTCTGACAACAGGCCCCAGGTCAAATACTGCCAGACTTGATAAGGCAATGTATGATAGTTAAAACTATGCAAAAGATTATGCAAAGCTACAAGGATGAAAAATTTAAAGACGTTGCAATACTCACAACAAGTGATTCCTTCAGTATCACAAGTCACTACATCATACATATATTAGTTACTAATTACTATTTACTAATTACGGTATGCAGGTGTACATACTGTCCGCAGGCTTCAGGTGTTTCTCCTGCCTCTTGAAATCGTCCATGTCGTAGTCCAAGTGTTCAAACGCGATGGCAACCTCCTCCACGGGACTGGTGCTTGCCCTGCAGCAGCAACACACACGTTACATCCTCACACAGCAACATATTAGCCAGCGAGCCGTGTAGCCGTAATTTGCACAGCCAGTTTTGAAACTGCACGGCCAAAAATATTGATCAAAAGCCTACGGCGGTCTTGGCTGAGACACACATACAAAAAAGTTGCACTCCCAAATATATTTTCTGCACTCCCACAATACTCATTCCTGGCTAATACCCAGTCACACAACGTCTGCGTTTACCCGTGCCATGATCACAAAGTTAGGTTATCAGTGTTGTGTTCGGAAAGAAAACTACCTCTTGTGGCTGTTTTACAATCTACGACAAGTAAGTGGGAGAATTGTGTAAAATACAGAATAGGCTAGTGCAGTCGTTGTCGCTCTTAATAGAAAACGTGCGGATGTGATGTAGCTAGGTAGCGCTGTGACAGACAGGGATGTGACGTGGCTAGGTGGAGCTGCTACGTGCGAGGATGTGACGTGGCTAGGTGGCGCTGCTACACACAGAGATGTGACGTAGCTAGGTGGCGCTGCTACACACAGAGATGTGACGTGGCTAGGTGGCGCTGCTACACACAGAGATGTGACGTAGCTAGATGGCGCTGCTACACACAGAGATGTGACATGGCTAGATGGCGCTGCTACACACAGAGATGTGACGTGGCTAGGTGGCGCTGCTACACACAGAGATGTGACGTAGCTAGGTGGCGCTGCTACACACAGAGATATGACGTGGCTAGGTGGCGCTGCTACACGTACGATCTGCTCCTGCTGATGGTCGTTGTGTAATACTTCCTCGCCGTTGACAACAGCTGCTGGTGAAGCTTCGATCCCTCTATCTCTCCCTACAACACACGCACACAGAGAGACAGCTGGTCAGCCACTATCAAACCACCGACGTACTACGTCTACACGTCACGTGTATCGTTCGCAAATTCAAAAACATCCCCTCTTGCCGAGTGCTCGATTATGAAGTTATACCGCTGTTCGTTGTGATCATTGTTTGAAGCCTTATCAATTATTACGTTGGATTATTGCTATTAATTATTGATGCTGGCTGTCTTTATGTGAAACGTAAATTATAAATTCATACTTGCTTGCATTCATTCGTGTTCGATGAGTATGCCACAAGCTAATGAATGAATATTCAATACATGCATGCACACACTCAAGCATGCACGCACGTACGCACACGCACGCTCGCACGCACGAACGCACGCACACACGCACGCACGCACGCACGAATGCACGCATGCTCGCACGCACGCACGCACGCACGCACGCACGAACGAACGCACGCACACACGCAAGCACGCACGAATGCAGGCACACACGTACGTGCGCGCGCACGCTCGCACGCACGCACGCACGCACGCACCCAAGCACACACGATTGCAGGCATGTTTGCACGTGCACGCGTACGCGCACACGCACGAACGCACGCACACACGCACACACGCAAGCACGCACGAATTCAGGCACACACGTACGTGCGCACGCACGCTCGCACGCACGCACGCACGCAAGCACACACGATTGCAGGCATGTTCGCACGTGCACGCGTACGTGCACACGCACGCACGCACGCACGCACACACACAGCAGCTGTGGTTTTCGTTCACCAATAACGCACCCTAAAGTAGCCTTTCTCCTTGAGATTCCTCAAGTATCTGTTCCACCTCACGTCGCTGACCTCTGACTGTTGACCCATAGAGTCCGGGCTGTCGCTGTCGCTGCTGCTGCTACGAAGGCTGTCTATGCGCGACAGAAGTATCTCAAAGCCACACGCCTGCGAAATGCAGAAACGAAGGGGTTTCAATGTGACCATAAAACTGACAGTGGTTGCTCTCCTTACTTTACCTAGTGCCGCTGAAATATGACCGATAGCCACGGCAATAAACTATTGTCGCTGTCATACCTACCGTGCCATTCCCCCTATTCGATAAATGCCATGTAGTGTATTTATCCCTCATCACCACACATAAAACGTACTCGTAAGAAAAGTAAGTGTCCTTGATAAACCTTCGATGGAAACGTTTGCCTTTGCGCACCCTTCCCACTTGCCGTGGCATACTTAAAATTTGCTACGAAACAAAAGGCATCGCTTGCCTTGTCCTAAAAACATTATGACTCAATCCCTGAAACATGAGAGAGCTCCTGTGATACAGCTTCCACAAAAGCTTCTCACAACACACATCACATCACATTTAATCAGTGAATCACAGCTTAGATGTCATTCACTGTTAAATCTCTGTGGGGACATGTAATGTCTGAGAGCGATGCATGTGAACCCCAGTTGTGCAGAGTACGCGCACGATTGTCTATTGTTGCACCAAGCAGCATTAGTAACGTTGTACGATTAAAAATGAGGAGCGTTGTAACGTTCCATTACGCGCAGTTTTAGATTATTACACGAAGTAATGATGTATCACCTCATTAAAACCAACATTGTTATTATCATCTACAATCACCATTATTATCATCGTCAGCAGTAGCATCAGCTTCATCATCACCATCTTCAGCATCACCAGCAACAGAAACGTCATCATCACCATTATCATAAGCATCAGCATCATCATCATCATCATTATCATCATCATCATCATCACCACCATCATCATCATCAGCAGCAGCAGCAGCATCGCCATCATCATCATCATCATCACAATCCTCAGCATCCCCAGGATCAGCACAGTCATCATCACCATTATCATAAGCATCAGCATCATCATCATCAGTAACTTTCATCTAAATGATCATCATTTACATCATCATCATCATCACCATCATCAGCATAAACACATCAAGAGCGTATTAAGAATGAGAACGTACAACGGTGAAATGCAAAAACCATGTTGTAGTTTCAGTGGAATTAGTAAACTTTACCCGTTTATTTGTACAATTCTTTGTGGTATTATTATTCAGCTGCCCTTCCTTGATAATATAAAACCAACCGCTTGTTCCTACGATGTCCCTACGCTGAGATATTATGCGGTGAAAATCTAGTATTTTGCCGAAAGTCGTACTAGATTTCACTGCGAGCTGCGACTCTCTCGAGGTTAGTGATAACTTCGGGAAACCTCGCTAGTCCAGTCATAAAGTGCCAAATAAGGCCTCTACCAGGAAATCGAGTGAAACAAGCTGGATTCTTCACTAATGGGTTGGTATTGATCCATATAAACCCCCAAAAAAAGATGCAAAATTTTCGTTGGTCGGAAACTTTTTTACGGGCCACTCCCTTTTTCCGATTTTCGCGATTATGGAAAAATTGTGTAAATCTTACCTGAACACTTTATAGTCATGTTATACATGTTAATAGGGGTATTTTGGGGCGGGGAGTCGATTCCAACAGTCAGTTTATTCATAAATTAAACGGTTAAGACTTAATTGACCAATTAAGCTCAATTAAGCTCAGTCGCATAACAAAATTTCGGTGTTTTCTGACATATGGCATGTTAGGTATGCTTTCTGGTGTTTTTTGGATGCCCGATCAAATTCTGGTGTTATTTAAACACTCAGAAGTATGATTCATCCCTAAAATGTCTCTTCCTAAATGCTCTGCACAAGAAGAAAGGAGCTGTACAGAGAAAAGTTGACCACAGACGGCTCCCTCCCACCTCCTCAGCTGTGAAGTACCACTGTCTCAGAGTGTACCATCAAGTACAAGAATGGCTATTTAAAACATTCTTTACCCCTCAGAATATGGGTGGGTTCTGAACTCCGATGGCAAGTATGGACTTCTCTACACAGACAAGGCAGTGGCACCTCCCAATTTGCTCAGATCCATTTGCTGTGGGTGTAAAACTAACTGCTCTTCAAAGCGATGTGGCTGCAAGCAGCTTGACCTCCAGTGTACTGATTTCTGTGGCTGTGACAACTGTGAGAACCAGACTGTAAGTGTAACCGGCAACCAGGAAACCGGAGATGATGAGGAAGATCAAGGATCGGTAGGGGACGCCGAAAAAGATGTCCCAGAAGATTGACTTTTCCAATTTATCGACTAAACTAGTTGTACTATAAATTATAATATTGTACTAATTATTGTACTATAAGTTATGATATATAACTATAAGACTATTTTGATAGCTTCGGTTGATTTGGGGACATGCTGTAAGTTAATTTTTTGTACAGTGCATTAGACTTGTTACTCTTCCTGGACGATTGTGATACAATAGTTCTGTTAAAGGACAAATAATATTCTATTGTTTGTATTCAATCAAATCCTATGTGTATGATTCTTTATCGAGTATCTTCGGGTTGTCGAGTTCGTAAGGCTTCATAATCAATACTTGTTTAAATTTAAACAGTAACGCGTATGGTTATTAATGATCGATCTATAACACTTTTTAGGGATGAATCATACTTCTGAGTGTTTAAATAACACCAGAATTCGATCGGGCATCCAAAAAAAACCAGAAAACACCGAAATTTTGGTACGCGACTTAGCTTAATTGAGCTTAATTGGTCAATTAAGCCTTAACCGTTCAATTTATGAATAAACTGACTGTTGGAATCAACTCCCCGCCCCAAAATACCCTTATTAACATGTATAACATGACTATAAAGTGTTCAGGAAAGATTTACACAATTTTCCCATAATCGCAAAAAGGGCGTGGCCCGTAAAAAGGTTTCCGACCAACGAAAATTTTGTAACTTTTTTGGGGGGTTTATATGGACCAATACCAACACAGTAGTGAAGAATCCAGCTTGTTTCACTCGATTTCCCGGTAGAGTGCACTTTATGACTGGACTACGCGTGTTTCCGTCATTCATTGACAAATGAAAATCCTTTTCCTTCTACTATCTTTTCTAACATTTCCAGTCATGGACGCGTCCATTACTCCACAATAACGTCTTGTTATTTATCGCCATGGTGATGACCCGCCTCTTATGCTGGATTTAGTAAACTCTGTAGTAATAACGGAAACGTATTGAGTCAGCGCTACACAGCGGCGACCTGAAGCAACATACTGGACACTAACCGCAAGAGAGTTGCAGCTCGCATTGAACTCTACTTCGATTTCCAGCAAAATACTAGATTTTCACCGCATAATATCTCAGCGTAGAGACATCGTAGGAACAAGCGGTTGGTTTGATATTATCAAGGAAGGACAGCTGAATAATAATACCGCATTTAGAATTGAGGAATTGTAAAAATAAAACGGGTAAAGTTTACTAATTCCACTGAAACTACAACATGGTTTTTGCATTTCACCGTTGTACGCTCTCATTCTTAATACGCTCTTGATCACATGGATAGACAGGCAGAAGACGCATGCTGCATAACCCTGTATTACCAATCTCTGAAAATATTTTCCACGAGTTTATGCGCAAGAACTCAGACGAGCAAGCAATGCATAAATTTAATTAGAGGAACAATGTTTGCACGCACGCACGGAGGCTACACGTACGCACGCATACACTCGTACCAGTTTCATTCCGAGATCGTGTGCCTTGAACTTGGGGTGGTTCCTAGGAGGCAGGTTCCATCCGATGATGCGCTCCGGCTCATACTTCTGCTTTAGAAGCTGCGCGTACAGGCAGCGTGTGAACGTTACCTGTAACAGATACAAGATTACCTGTAACAGGTAGAATGAGACACGCATGTCTCACACGCGTGCGCAGTTGCCAGAATGAGACACGCATGTCTCACACGCGCGCGCGGTTGCCAGAATGAGACATGCATGTCTCACACGCGCGCGCGGTTGCCAGAATGAGACATGCATGTCTCACACGCACATGCACACGGCGGTAAAATTCTTCCCCAACTCACAGCCATTTCGCTGATCTTCTACACAATGTCCCCTCAATCGGTCGTAGGAATTTCCTTTCATACACATTTCTCTCTCTCTCTCTCTCTCTCTCTCTCTCTCTCTCTCTCTCTCTCTCTCTCTCTCTCNAGAAGAGCGTGAGAAAGCTGGTGGAGAAGGAGGAGCGGGCGGAGAAGGAGGAGTGGAGGCAGAAGGAGGAGGGGGAGAAGGGAGAAGGTGGTGGAGAAGGAAGGAGCGGGAGAAGCTGGTACGAGAAGGAGGAGCGGGCGAAAGGGAGAAGGTGGTGGAAGAAGCGAGAGGGGGAGAAGCTGGTGCGAGAAGGAGGAGGGGGAGAAGGGAGAAGGTGGTTGGAGAAGGAGGAGGGGGAAGAATGCTGGTGGAGAAGGCAGGAGGGGAGAAGGGAGAAGCTGGGAGGAGAAGGAGAGGGGAGAACGCTGGTGGAGAAGAGGAGGGGGAGAAGGGAGAAGGTGTGGAGAAGGAGGAGGGGACGAAAGCTGGAGAAGCGTAGGAGGGGCGAGAAGGGAGAAGGTGCGTGGAGAAGGAGGAGGGGAGAAGCTGGGGCAGAAGGAGGAGGGGGGAAGGGAGAAGGTGCGTGCGAGAAGGAGGAGGGGAGAAGCTGGCTGGAGAAGGAGGAGGCGGGAGAAGGGAGAAGCTGGAGGGCAGAAGGAGGAGGAGAAGGCTGGATTGGAGAAGGAGGAGGGGGAGAAGCGAGGAAGGTGGTGGAGAAGGAGGAGGGGGAGAAGCTGGTGGAGAAGGAGGAAACGGAGAAGGGAGAAGTGGTGGAGAAGGGGGAGGTGAGAAGCTGGTGGAGAAGAGGGAGGGGAGAAGGAGGAAGGTGGTGGAGAAGCAGGAGGGAGAAAGCTGGTGGAGAAGGAGGAGGGGGAGAAGCTGGAAGGAGAAAGAAGGAGTGGGGAGAAGGTGGTGGAGAAGGGAGGAGGGGAAGAAGCGTGCTTTCTCCCCTCGTCACCAGCTTCTCCCTCCTCCTCCTCCACCAGCTTCTCCCCCTCCTCCTTCTCCTCCAGCCTCCACCATTCTCCCCCTCCTCCTTCTCCACCACCTTCTCCCCTCCTCCTCCTCCACCACCTTCTCCCTCTCCCTCTTCTCGTCAGCTTCTCCCTCTCCTCCTCCACCAGCTTCTCCCCTTCTCCCCCTCTCCTTCTCCACCAGCTTCTCTCCCTCCTTCCTTCTCCACCAGCTTCTCCCCCCTCCTCCTTCTTCCACACCTTCTCCCTCTCCTCCTTCTCCATCAGCTTTCTCCCCCTCCTTCTTCCTCACCCAGCTTCTCCCTCTCCCTCCTCCTTCTCACCAGGTTCTCCCCTCCTCCTTCTCCACACCTTCTCCCTTCTCCCCTCCTCCTTCATCCACCAGCTTCTCCCCCTCCTCCTTCTCCCACCAACCTTCTCCCTCTCTCCCCTCCTCCTCCTCCTCCACCAGCTTCTCCTCCTCCTCCTTTTCTCCCTTCTCCTCCTTCTCCTCCTCCTCCACCAGCTTCTCCCCCTCCTCCTTCTCCACCACCTTCTCCCTTTCTCCCTCTTCCTCTCCACCAGCTTCTCCCTTTCTCCCCCTCCTTCTCTCCACCACGCTTCTCCCCTCTCCTCCTCCACCAGGCTCTCCCCCTCCTCCTTCTCCCTTCTCCCCCTCCTTCTTCTCCACAGCTTCTCCCCTCCTTCCTCCTCCACCAGCTTCTCCCTTCTCCCCCTGCCTCTTCTTCATCACCTTCTCCCCCTCCTCCTCCCCACCAGCTTCTCCCCCTCCTCTCCCACCACACTTCTCCCCTTCTCCCCTCCTCCCTTCTCCACAGCTCTCCCCCTCCTCTTCCACTACCCTTCTCCCTTCTCCCCCTCCTTCCTTCTCCACAGCTTTCTCCCCCTCCTCCTCCTCACCAGTTCTCCCCCCTCCTCCTTCTCCTCTTCTTCCCCTGCCTCCTCCTCCACCAGCCTTTCCCCCTCCTCCTTCTCCCTCTCCCCCTCTCTTCTCCACCAGCATTCTCCCTTCTCCCCCTCCTCTCCTCCTCCACCAGCTTCTCCCCCCCTCCTTCTTCCCTTCTCCCCCTCCTCCTCCTCCACAGCCTTCTCCCCCTCCTCCTTCTCACCACCTTCTCCCTTCTCTCCCCTCTTCCTCCTCCACAGCTTTTCCCTTCTCTCCCTCCTGCTTCTCCACCAGCTTCTCCCCCTGCGCTCTCCATCCACCAGCTTCTCCCTTCTCCCCCCTCCTCCCTTCTCCATCCTTCTCCCCCTCCTCCTTCTCCACCAGCTTCTCCCCCTCCTCCTTCTCACCACCTTCTCCCTTCTCGCCGCTGCCTGCTTCTTCCACCAGCTTCTCCCCCTCCTCCTTCTCCACCACCTTCTCCCATCTCCCCTCCTCCTTCTCCACCTAAGCTTCTCCCCTCCTCCTCTCCACCAGCTTCTCCCTCCTCCTACTCCACCACCTTCTCCCTTCTCCCCTCTCTCCTCCACCAGCGTCTCCCTTCGTCCCCGTCCTTCCTTCTCACCAGCTTCTCCCCCTCCTCCTCCTCCACCAGGCTTCTCCCTTCTCCCGCCTCCTCCTTCTCCATGCACCTTCCCCTCCTCTTTCTCCACCAGCTTACTCCCCCTCCTTCTCCTTCCACCAGCCTTCTCCCCTCCTCCTCCTTCTCACCAGCTTCCCCTTCTCCCTCCTTCTTCTCCACCAGCTTCTCCCCCTCCTCCTTCTCCACCAGCTTCTACCCCCTCTTCCTTCTCTTACCAGCTGGTGTCTAGCTGAAGTGGAAATCGCCATATAGTTCCAAGTCATAAAGTGGCCAAAAAAGCCTCTACCGGAGAAGATCGAGGTGCAAACAAGCTGGATTTCTTCACTAATGTGTTGATATTGTCCATATAAAAACCTAAAAAAAAGGCTTACAAAATTTTTGTTGCCGTCGCGACAACTTTTATACGGGCCACGCCCTTTTCCGAATTTTCGCGCATTATGGCGAAGAATTGTGTAAATTTTACCTGAAACACTTTTAGTCATGCTTGATACATTGTTACTATCGGGTATTTTGGGCGGGGCAAGTCGATTCCAAAGCAGTCAGTTTATTCAAAATTAAAATGGTTAAATGCGTTAATTGACCAATTAAGCTCAATTAAGCTCAGTCGTGTACCAAAATTCGGCTCTTGTTTTTTCTGACATATGGCCATGATTAGGTATGCTGTTTCTGGGTTATTTTTCGGATGCCCGATCGAATTCTGCGTGTTATTTAAACACTCAGGAAGTGATGATTTCATCCCTAAAAAGTTTATAGGCAGTGCTTTCACGTGACGTCATAGGATCAGGTCACGTGTATTTCTTATGGTCATGGGCTTGCAGGAAGCGAAAGCGTTGTGCTTGACATTTACATGATGAATGACCACATGTTCTGCATAGAAAGCGCTGTTTATGTAGTGCACTACACGTGCGTGCTGCGTGCATGCCGTTTGTGCACTCACGGCGTGACATGTGTGGCTCGTGGCGCTGCGTGCCTGTGGAACCCTGTGCACGTTACACGTTCGTGCGTCGTGTACACGTACACGTGCCGTGCGTGCGTGTGCACGTACCACGTTCGTGCGTTCGACGTGCACGTACACGTGCGGCGTGCGTGTGCCACGTACACGTGCGTGCGTATGTGCGTGCGTGCTGCACGTACACGTGCCGTGCATGCGTGTGTGTGTACGTGCGTGCGTCGTGTCCAGAGGTACACGTGTGTGGCCATGATTGCGTTGGGGTGCGGTACGGCGTGTGGGACAGGTACACGTGCGTGCGTGCATGCATGCATAGTGCCACGTAGACGTGCGATGCGTTGCGTAGTGCACGTACACCTGTGTGCATGCATTGCGTGCGTGCGTGTGTACGTAAACGTGCCGTGCATGCGTGCGTGTGTGGCGTGTGTGCGTGTGCACGTATTACGGCGTGCGTCGTACACCTGGCGTGCATTGTGCGTTGTGCACCCGTCGCGCGCGTGCGTGCGTGCCCGTGTGGACGTACACCGTGCGTGCTGCCCGTGCGTGCGTGCGTCGCTGTGTGCACTTACACGTGCGTACCATGCCGGCGTACCTGTCGTGTGCGGGTACACGTGTGTGCATGCGCGCGTGCGTGCGTGCGTGCGTTTTGGATGTACACTGCGCGGGTACCTGCATATGCACGTACACGATGCGTGCATGCGTGCGTGCGTGCGAAGTGTGCAGTACACGTGCGTGCATGCGTGCGTGCGTAGTGCACGCACATGTGACGTGCTTGCGTGAGTGCGGTGCGTGTGCACGTACACGTGCGTGCATTTCGTGCGTCCGTGGCGCGTGCACGTTACACCGTGCGTAGCATGCGTGCATGCGTGCGTGCCCGCCACCTGTGGCGCGTGTGCACGTACACGGCTGTAGCATCAGTGTGCGTTGTGCGTGCCGTGCGTGCGTGCGTGGTACGTACACGTGCGTGCGTATGGTTGTACCGAACAATATCACGCAATCTGCTTCTGCCACGTTTAAAATGCGCATGTGCGCATATCTGACGTCAATGTTTATCAGACGATGAAACCACTCCTTATAGATCCGATCATTAGATAACCATACGCGTTACGTTTAAATTTAAACAAGTATTGAATAGAAGCTTTACGAACTCGACAACACGAAGATACTCGATAGAAGAATCATACGACATAGCGACTTGATTGAATACAAAACAATAGAAATATAATTTGTCCGTTAACAGAATATGTATCACATTTCGTCCCAGGAAGAGTAACAAGTCTATATGCACTGACAAAAATTTAACTTACGCATGTCCCCAAATCACCGAGCTATCAAAATAATCCTTTAATATCATAACTGCTATAGCTACAATAATAAACAATATTATAACCCTATAGTACAACCAAGTTTAGCTCGATTAAATTGGAAAGTCCAAAATCTTCTGAGACATCTTCTTCGGCCCCGTCCACTACCGATCCTTCATCTTCCTCATCATTCTCCGTTCCTGGTTGCCGGTTAAACTTACAGTCTGCGCTGGTCTCACAGTTTGG